GTAACCACGCACGCCCATGCATTTTGAGCACCACCCTCACGAATGAGCTCCTGTCTGCGTCTCACTCGCCCCTGTGCTCTCTCGCCTTCAAGTCAAGTTTTGCTTCTCAACCGCAAATATTTCTTAAAATGCCTCCGTCATAGAAAAAAGCGTCTCGACATATAAACAAATTTTTGACATCATCACCATTCCTCTACTAATCTTTATGAGACTTTCTCTATTAAGTAAGAAATAACTTACATGATATCAAATTGCAAATTGAAGCTCTAACATCTATAAAGTAACAAAAACAAACATGAAATGCCGTTGAACGAGCACAAAAATGAACAATCTTCAAATTATTAAATACCCGCAAAATCATCAACAAAACAAATACGATTACAAACGGTAAGTGAGTAGAAAAACAAAGGTATAACAAACTGGAGTTTCCGGCTTTAGTGTCTTCTTGGACTGCTTCGCATTTTGCTAGCACATGTATCGCCTTCACCCATATGGCCAACTACCTCGCTGTAGCGCCTGGAATTGAAAATGAAAAATGCAGGTAGGATGATCATGACCAAACAGAAAAAAAAGCAAATTCGGGAGCCTCTAATTGAATTGGGCGCTTCCGTAGCTATTGTCTGAGAAAATAAAGAGAAAAACTTTTTTTGCTTGTTCTTCAGAAACTCAGCACATGAACTCATTCGCCGAGAGTGGAAAATCTTCAATCAACAGTTATACACGTCGCTGCGGTCGGAGTCTACGATTAAAATGCAGCCCAACAGAAATGATGGTAAGCGATGCAGGGATAAAGAAAAACCATGTCCACAACTTGTGCAATGGAATCCCTTCTTTGCTATTTATTTGCGCGTTAGAGGGTGCCTCTTAAGTGCTCCCCTCTTCAACGCAAACGCTTTTATGCAAGACGTCTAGAATCAGATGGCGCGAGCGACGCAGGTGTGGGCTTGCTAGGCGGCTTAGGCGTACACTTCGCTTCAAGACGCGCATCGCCCCGCACCATTGAAGAGCCTTCCTTACGAGTAGGTATATTTTCTTTCTTCTACCTCTAACCTTATCACTGAATCTTCTGAGCCGCTCCCGTTCGCATTCCAGGTCGCTGGTTTCAGAGGGCTCACTGGGCGATCTAAATCCAGTGAGAAAGATAATTTGGGTGACCACCAAGAATGCATAAGCGTCAATGAGAGCGTTAGCGAGGCGGCAAAGCGACCTGGCGTCGAATTTCACATGTGAGCTCAGCCACTAGAGATCTTGCAGCCCGCGTAGGGTGCAGCCAACAATCCGTTCCCAATGCTTTTTGGATTGTTCGATACACTTGACACTTGGATGTAAAGAAAGGCCAAATAAAGCAGCAAGCGCCAGGGAAAGAAGATGCTTGTTCCAAACTTGGT